CCCTGGAGAACCCCTGCTGTGGCAGTCGCGAACGGACTCGCGACTGTGACATTCGCGGTGCAAGTGTTGGTTCACGCGGGTGGGGAGGGACCGCGTCCCTTCGGCTTCGGGGTTCCTAACTCGGACTGACCTCCCCAGGGATGAGCCAGGAAGAGGAAACAAAAGTCGCGAGTGAGGAAGTGAAAGTGAACTGTGCACTGGCCTGGAAGTTAGGAGACTGGGGTTCCGGTCCCAGCTATGGCCCCTGACTCCCAAGGGGACTGTTGTCTCTCTTAGGCCTCCTCGGCTTTTTCATGTGCAAAATGTGCTGTTGGTTTATTCCTTAGGTATGGTGTATTGCAGTGGCAAAGTCCTTTCAGCCCTGGCCACTAGAGGGTAGCAGAATCCAGTCTCTTAGTGCACATCGAGAGAGATTGAGAGAGAGAGAGAGAGAGAGAGAGAGAGAGAGAGAGAAACTCGCAGGTAACTACGCTTGCTCGGGTTGGGGGGTGAGGGAGGGAAACACCTCAGGCAAGGCTACAAAAGAAGACTGAGGCACTGTGGCATCTGGAATTCAGGATTAAGGGCAGGGAGTTTCTCCCGATAAGATCCAGGGCAGAAGCTGCCCAACCTTAGGAGGTGGGTGGGGGCAAATTGAGGGGAGAGTGAGAAAAGCAAACTGCTCCTCCCTGACATCTTCCTTTGATCGAAGCCAGGTTCCTGATCTTTCAAACTCTGTGCCCTAGGACCCGGTAAAGAATGAAGAGGCTTAGATCTAACCTGACTGCTTTGGGTTGCGGGAGGAAATGCAGGCAGATTTCCTCTCCCCACACAGCTGGGGCGCGGCAGAAACGGGATCTGTGTCCTCTGGGGCTGGGCTGTAAGTGGGAATGAGGACTGCTCCTTTTTGCCTTTGGTTTCTTCACATCAGCCTGCTCCCCATCATGCCCTAGAAACTGAGGCCATTGAGGGCAGCCAGGGATGTGGTGGGGGTGTGTATGTGATTCAGGGGTCTCATGGCACAGCAGGGCTTTCCCCTCCTGATCCCAACTCCTCATCCTCAGAGAAAACTGTGTGAGGGTAGGAGGTGGGGGGGGCAGCATGGGAAGGAAGGCAGATAGAGAGACTGGATGGTCCCTGAGATCTCTTCCCCACCTGGATCTTTTTTTCTGAGTTGGAGTCTCACTCTTTTGCCCAGACTGTAGTGCAGTGGCCGCTCCCGGCTACCGCAGCCTGGACCTGCTGGGCTCCGGCGATCCTTCCACCTCAGCCTTCCAAGTAGCTGGAACTACAGGGGCGCGCAACCGCGCCCAGCTAATTTTTGATTTATTGTAGAGATGAGGTCTTGCCAAGTTGCCCAGGTGGGTCTCGAACCCCAGGGCTCAGGCAATTCACTCACCTTGGCCTCCCAAAGGCATGGGATTACAGGCTGAGCCACCGAGCCCGACTCCCACCTGGATCTTTTTTTTGAGTTGGAGTCTCACTCTGTCACCCAGACTGGAGTGCAGTGGCCACTCCCGGCCACCACAGCCTCGACCTGCTGGGCTCCCGCGATCCTTCCACCTCAGCCTTCCAAGTAGCTGGAACTACAGGCGTGTACTACCACGCCCGGCTAATTTTTGATTTATTGTAGAGATGAGGTCTTGCCAAGTTGCCCAGGTAGGTCTCGAACCCCGGGGCTCAGGCCATTCAATCACCTCAGCCTCCCAAAGGCACGGGATTACAGGCTGAGTCACCGAGCCCGGCTCCCACCTGGATCTTAAAACCAAGATTCAACAATAGCTTTGAAAGCCTCTGCCCTCCCAGCTGTAGCCCTCCTTGAGTAAAGTATGCCGGGCAGGAGCCTGTTTTCCAAAATCATGGTAAAAGTCTCTTTAAAATCTCTGACTTCTATCATCTTTGGCTGTGATCTGAAAGTCAGTCTTCTCCCTCAGGCTTCTTACTGGCTAACCTCCCAACAGCTGGATTCAGATCTGTCACACTCCCAGGATTAGGCAAGGACCTGCCTGGGAGGTGGGGTGATTTTGCTTCACCTTATTGGCCTATATGTCCATTTTAGGTTCTTGTTTTTGCCTAAGTCATTGGCTGTTCTGTCAGACTCTTATTTTCTGCCTCTCCTGGATAGAAATGGGAACTCCCCACCCCAGGGGCCTTAGCTGCACCTCTCTCCCAGCTTTGTTTTCGTTTTCTTCCCAGCTTCCATTCTGACTTGGGTCCTTGGCTGTAGGTGTCTCACTTACATGGGACTTCAGCTTTACATATTTCTTGGCTGTACAGCCTCCAGATCTCACCTCCTCCAGGTCCACCTGGGAGCGAGAAGCATCTGTCTGTCCATTGCTGCCCCACCCCAGGCCCCAGGAGAACTGCCCAGGACACCTATTTCCTTTGCTTAGTTTGAGCCAAGCCCATATTTTGGAGAAGACAGAAAAGAAACAAGAAAGAGAGAGAGAAAGAAAGCCAGCCAATCTGCACTTGTATGACACATGCTTTGCACCCCAGGACAGCATCTGAAATGGTCTATAATGACCCTGTCAGGGATATGCAAACTGAAAGGGTATTAAGGTATCGTGAAAGGTAGACCTGAGAGAAAATTGAGAGACACAAGGAGGGGGAATACAGGGCTTCTAGTTCTCTGGATCTGCTTTCACCTGCTAATGATGTCCAGGGACATCTGCCCAAGAGTGGGGATGGAGGTAGAACATCTTGAAGGTCTCATAATCCTAATGTGACCCTATTATTTTAGTTTGTTTCTGTTGGCCAAGAGTCTAGGTGATCTCTAGCAAGCAAGGATCCCTAAAGTCCAGGTTCCCAGCCTTAGCTGTCCGTCCTAGCTCCAAATCCATGCCTCCTTGCCTCAAACCTTTACAGAGCTCTGACTCTATCTTCCCCCACCCTTAAACCCATTTTCTGACCCTGGAGTCATCTCTGATTCTCAGCATTGTTCGGTACATACAGAAAACCAACAATTGCAATGCGGGGTCTTAGACATACTCTCAAGACTTCCACAGTCCCCTCTGCCTGTGTCTCCCAGTCTGTCCTATCTATCAGGCCTGCTGGTTATTCTACTGTGAACTCTGGCCCTTCTAAATTTCTCACATAGCTTATGCTGGCCACTTGACTTCCTGGTCCCATGCCATCCTGGCCCCCCTTTGGCTCTTTACTCTTAGCTCAACCAGAATAAGAATGTGGACAAACAAAAAGATAGAGGAATGACAGAAGAAAGAGGTTGTAAGTGGCCAGTTCTTGAGCGCTCCTTTGTATGTGAGCTAGAAGGAATTTGGAAGGTGGAATTACATGCAGACTTGGAGTGGAGGCGGGTGGGGATCAGCAAAGTTAGGTACTGTTGGAGAGGTGAGATAAGGGTGGGGAGGAACATGTGGTGTTGCGGGACTTTGCAGTGTTGAGCAGGGAAGTGTCACTGGGTCATTGTTGAGTGCTGGGAATTGACAGCAGAGAGGGAAGTACCTAAGTTATCCTAGCAGTAGACAAGTAGGCATCCAAAAATTTCTCAATTTCTCTTCCAGTCTTTCTGTCTCCATTTCAGACTATTGTCTCAGCTACTTTGTCTCTTTGAATTCCCCCACTTCAATAGCACACACTTGTGTTCTCTCTCTCTCTCAATACAGATGGTCCCTGACTTGATGGTTTGACTTACAAATTTTCAACTTTATGATGGTGCAAAAGCAATACATGTTCAGTAGAAACTGTACTTTACATTTTGAATTTTGATCTTTTCAACTTACGATGTATTCCATTTGCATGCAGTTTATGTGGATGTCACACCAGCATAATAAGTCAAGAAGCATCTGTTTATCTTTCTGTTTCAAAGTTTGTATTTGTCTCATTTTGCCCTGAGCTCTGTCTCTCACTGTTTCTAGTTTTGTGTTTTTCTTTCTCTGGGTTGCTACCTCTTTTTCTCCTGCTGAACAGAGCCAGTCATTTGGCTTTCCTGCAAAGAGCTTTGGAACTTTCCAGAAGTGGCCAGACTTCTGCCCTTTGGCTGCATTTGGGAACTTTAGTACAGACACAGTCATAAGTCTTTTTTTTTTTTTTTTTTGAGTTGGAGTCTCACTCTGTCGCCCAGACTGGAGTGCAGTGGCCGCTCCCAGCCACCGCAGCCTCAACCTGCTGGGCTCCGGCGATCCTTCCTCCTCAGCCTTCCGAGTAGCCAGAATTACAGGCGTGCGCTACCATGCCCGGCTAATTTTTTGATTTATTGTAGAGATGAGGTCTCGCCTGGCCAGGCGGGTCTCGAACCCGCGGGCTCAGGCAATCCACTCACCTCAGCCTCCCAAAGGCACGGGATTACAGGCTGAGCCACTGAGCCCGGCTAGTCATAAGTCTTAATTATTGATGAGTATCTGAGTGAGCTTCAGTATTTCAGAGAGTGGGACAGTCTCAACAAAAGACCTTAGTGCAGTCTCAGTGTCAGAGAATAAAGGCATTTGTCCCTAAACCCATACTCTGGTTCCTATTTTTGTTGCAGTTGTATTTATAGAAACTTGGGAAGTTCATGAAGTAAGAGCAAGGAGGATGGAGCCCTGCACATAACTGGTCTACTGAGAAATAGCACCCAAACCTGTCTTGTATTTGGAGGGGCTTTTTCCAACTTTAGGACTCTTGAGGAACGAGCAAATCTAGCCCCCTGAGCTCCAGGGGATGCTAGACTGCCAGGAAATGTGGTTGTCATGAAAGTATTGGCCTGGCTATTGGGGAATCAGTAGGCCTGCAGGATAGGCAGATAAGAACAGTACAGTACATGGCAATGCTTAGAGGGAATCTTCTGGAAGACAGTATGCCACCTTCCTAATACTGGGCACCGCGAAGCTCTGGCTGGAGGGCATAAAGGCGTTTTTGGTGGAGGAAAAGCTGGGGGAGTCCCTGTGTCCTGCATGAGAGTCTCTCCATACCTCCATGGTGAGAGGACCCTGACAGGGAGCAGGAGGAGTGACTTTGAAGACTCGGGACTGGGGGATGGAATCGGAATCAAGTTCCATCTTGGCCATCTCTCACCACATCAATCAGCAACTCAACACCTGTTTATGCAGAATGTAGAAAGTTTGCAATGAGCAGGTCAGGAATAGCTCATCACACAGACAAAGCTGTACCAAAATGGGTCACAATCCTCTTATCCAAACCATGCCTCCAACTGATTTGTTACTCACTCTCTTCTCTCACAAAGCCTAAGGGCCTCTCCCCCCATCCTCTGACTCTTTTCTGGCCTGGGATCTTGCTGCAGACAGACAGGCAATTATCCATGAAGGAGTTCTCTCCTATCCCATCCCGTCCCCTGCCACCCACCCCCAGCCCTTCCCGCCTTAGCTGACTCTCTCCCTCCCTCATTCCCTGGATCTGACCCTCACTCTCACTCTTCCTCTCCCCCACACCACTCCACCCATCGGTGTCCTTTCCTGACTCACCTCAGGTCCCATTGACATAAACAAAAATTTCAGCACAACCCACTCCAACCGGTTTGGCTGAGGCGTGCAGCCTGTCATGGGGACAGAGATAGGTATAAGCGGATGCTTGGACACATGCAGATCACGAACATCCGCTGCTGGGCACACAGCCCCATGTACGTGCATGGCATGTACATGTGCAGAGACACATGATGGTGGGAGATAGTGTGTCATAGTTGTTTATGTGTCCATCTTTCCTGACCGAGAGCTCCTTGAGGGAGGAAATTGTGTGTCACATGTCTCTGTTTCTTCCCTTGAGCCTGACACAAAGTAGTACTCACCAAACATCTGTTGAAGGAATGCATGTGTGCAGGCATGCACACAGTGATACCACTCAGACAAATGCATGGGATAAAGCTACTCCTATGGCTCTCAGGGACCAGAATGTGGGTGGGAGGAAGGTAGACAGTGAGGAATGAGAGGAATGGGGATTCAGTATGGAAGAAAGAGCTCAGTCTCGGACGCAAGGCGTTGGTCTTGAAAGTCGTCCCCAACCACGGACCAACCCTAGAACATGCCTTCCCCAGGGTTCATCCTGGAAGAGGCAGGAAAGGTCTAAGAATGACGGCATAGCCAGCATAGTGGCTCATGCCTATAATCCCAGCTCTTTAGGAGGCCAAGGTGAGAGGACTGCCTGAGTCTGTGGGTTGGAGGTCAACCTGGGCAACTTGACAAGACCTCATCTCTACAAAAATTAAAAATCAAAAATTAGATGGGTGTGGCAGTATGCACCTGTAGTTCCAGCTACTTGGAAGACTGAGGTGGAAGGATCACCTGAGCCCAACAGGTCGAGGCTGTAGTGGCTGTGAGCATGCCACTGCACTCCAGCCTGAGCGACAGAGTGAGATTCTGACTCAAAAAAAGAAATTTTTTTTAATGAGGGTATATTCCCCAAGAGCATGGCCCCTGTGAGCCATACAGGGTTGAGGAAGGAGGAGACAGGAACATGGAGACAGATGTTTGTGAAATGAAGAAAGATCCCACCCTCCATCCAAGGCCTGGGGTGTTGCCTGACTCCAGTGCTCTGTCTCAGGCCTGGTGGTGCCCTTAGCTCATGTCAAGGCTGCATGTGGCGTTTACCAGGACCTGAAAACAGCCATGAAAAAAATGGATATGGTCATATCTTTTTTTTTGTTTGTTTGTTCGTTTTGAGTTGGAGTCTCACTCTGTCACAGACTGGAGTACAGTGGCTACTCCCGGCCACCGCAGCCTCGACTTGCTGGGCTCCGGCGATCCTGCCGCCTCAGCCTTCCGAGTAGCCGGAATTACAGGCATGCGCTACCACGCCCGGCTGATTTTTTA